AAAAAAGACAAAAAAAAAAAAAAAAAAAAAGAATTCCTTGGTTAGTAATGATATGATAATCAATAGAAAAATAACTTGATTAAAAAAAAAACAAGCTTATGTAGTTATGGTACAAAACAAAAACCTCAAGAACTTAAGTGGTCATTAAAACCCTTATTTTGCCAGTTCAAAAATATATTGTCCACCCAAAGACACCCTTTTACCACATCCTAGCAAGTTGAGTTCACTGTTATTTTTTTTATTATTATTAATAAATACTGGGCCAAAACTATTCTGTATGTGTGTTTATTTAAAGCTCCCTAGATAATTCTAAAGACTAGAAAGTTTGGAAATCGTTAACATAGGTAACAGTTACAACTGGAAAGTTGCACAGTAATGAACAATTTTCCTACACTACTTTCCTAGCAAAAAGTGAAGTTAAATTTTGGACCTCTTTCTTGTCTTTGCAGCATCTTACTTTGAGTCTGTCTGTGCAACAAAATTCTGTCCCCTCCCTTTCTCCTCTAATATTCATGAGCAGATCCAAGATGTTAAGTTGGGTTTCCTATTTCTTGATTTGAAGGATACCTTTTTGATCAAGGACTTCTGCATTCTGGCAGTTAGTTAGTTAATTTAGTCATGTCTTTGGATGTTTTTATTTGCACATAGAGATCCTGGCAACTTCTATATGGAGCATAATTTGGTAATTTCAGTAATGTCAGTATACCAACATAAATGTTCTCCTTTATTTTCAGATCATAGATGATTTACTTGGGGATTTTTTTCTTTTTTTACTGAAACATAATTGATTATGCATATTTGTTGAGTACAGAGTTGAATATTAATACCTGTGTAGAATATGTGATGATTAAATAAGTATAATTAGTACATTCATCATTACAAAATGTAATCATTCATTTTGATCCTTAACTACTTTCTTGCTGACCCCCCTCCCCCCTCCCATCTCTAGTAATCAGTTTGTTCTCTTCTTTTGAGAGTTCATCGTATTATTGTGGTTGTTGTTTCCTTCCTTCCTTCCTTCCTTCCTTCCTTCCTTCCTTCCTCCCTCCCTCCCTCCCTCCCTCCCTCCCTTCCTTCCTTCCTGTCAGGACATGTGGTATCTCTCTTTCCGTGTCTGGCTTATTTCACTTAACATAATTTTTGGAGATTGTATACCTAGGATTAGGCCATCGATTTTTTAACTTTTCAATAAAGAAAGGCAAATTTCCATTTGCAAAAGAAATTTGCATATTAAGAAGGAATTTTAGAACTTTGACTTTATCATCACTTAAAATTGTATAGTTTATATGTGATATTTCTACAATACTTATTAGGTAAATTGTTGATCTTTCTAAAACCTTTACATGATACCAGGCAGTGTTATAAGCTATTTCTTTTCCAGATTGAGAATTTGAATATAACAAACTGTTAGTTTCAAATAATTTAGTAATAATTCCAGGAAAAGAAATTAGGAAATAGGGTTGCCAGTTCTTATTGCATGTTCTGTCACATTCTGCAGCATCTTGCTCTTTCCAGTGTCCTAAAGGTGTTTTACAGATCATTTCACTTGATGAATGAATTACCAAAATCCAAAAGCCTGATGTGTAGTCAATTTATCCCATTCATCCTTAAGGATTGATTTGGATATTCACATAGCTGATCAAACTTTATGAATGTTAGTAATTAATGTGGCTTAAAACAAAACAAACAATCCATTACATGGGTCATTTCATCACATAATAAAAATAAGTATTGAGTCTTTAATTCATATTTATCATTACATATAGAGAAACAGAGTAAGTTTAGTTTTGTCTTCTCACTGATACAGATCTGCTGTTGCTTAATTGGCCTTTTGTAAAATGCTTGGACTATCAAAGCCTGTCCTTTAGATGTCAAATAAAATGATTGTATTTGTTCCAGTTCTACTAGGGAAATACATAACTCTAAATTCTAAATATTGAGATTCTGTTCTGATAGCTCCCTAGGTAGGCAAAATCTGAATACTGTCTACACAAATCTATCTTAAGCTTCATATAGTTTTTATTTCTAGAATTCCAGAAAAGATGCCTAACCCTAATACTATATCCATGATTAACTTTATTTACTTTTCTAGATTTATTTGCTTAGACAGCTTAATAACATATTTGAAGATTCATGTGATCACGATAATTACACCTAATTACATAGTTATATAGTTATATCTAATTGCATTTATTGTGTTTATACACATTATAAAATTTTAATTTCCTAACACTCCCCCAAATGTAAAATTTTCTGAGCATATTATATTACACATCTGCAGTAAACGTTTTTTTAAACTCAGGAATCTTATGATTTTGTATATTTTATTCTCATTTCAGGTACAAATTTAGTAGTCTTCCTTGGTTTTTATTTTAAAGTGACATTCATTAATTCCTTTAACATTTCTTAAAGGGGTACTGGGCACATAGAAGAGATGATGAACTGGTACTGTCCTTCTCAGGAAATTCAAGGAATTTATACTCTAATAGAGAATTTCAGTAATATTCTTTAAAGTGAGAGCAGTAATATCTATGAAACTGAGTAATGTATATGATAATGCTCTGATGCTTGTGGATTAAAGATGCTATGTATTTTTTTTAAACACTATGCCATTTAATCTATTGGGACTAACACACACAGATGTGTTATCCGATCTCAGAAAGCATGGTCTTTAAATTCATGACAGTTAACCTTAATGATGTATTATGATCCCATGAACAAAATTTATACCACCAAACAAATACCATCATTATAATATTGACATGGAGAAGTATTGATAAAGGGCACCATTTTATATCAAACGTAATTACAGCTCCAGCAAATCCCTAAGAAATGTTTGTATTCACTAATGGATCTAACAATTTTGACATAATCATGTGTAGCTTTTTTTTTACTTCCAGATTTAAACATGATTAGATACATTGGTAATTTACTTCCTAGTATTAGCTTGGTTTATATTGAGGGTAAGTCTATTTTAAACTTTTTCATGTGCTTTAGGTATTGGTTTTAAGATGCTAACATTTCCTCTCAATATTTTGCTTGCTTTGTAGTTGATCTACTGACTTCACAATGTCTGAAATAAGATTCAGCAACCTCACTTGGCATCAAGTTATAACACTGGATCAAGTATTAGGTGAAGTAATTCCAATTCATGGAAGGGGACATTTTCCCACATTGGAGGTAAAACCAAAAGATATCATTCATGTTGTAAAATATCAACTCATAGAGCAAGGAATTATTGTTAAAGATACCCGATTGAATGGTTCCACAGCAAGTTACATACTTGCAAGTCATAATGGAATCAGCTATAAGGATCTGGATATCATTTTTGGTGTCAAACTTCCAAGTGATCAAGAATTTCACGTTGTAAAAGATACAGTTCTAGGTTGTTTACTTGACTTTTTACCAAAAGGTGTAAAAAAAGAGAAGCTCACCCTAAAGATTATGAAAGAGGCTTATGTTCAGAAGATGGTCAAAGTTTGCAATAAGCCTGATCATTGGGTTCTAGGTTGTTTACTCGACTTTTTACCAAAAGGTGTAAAAAAAGAGAAGCTCACCCTAAATATTATGAAAGAGGCTTATGTTCAGAAGATGGTCAAAGTTTGCAATAAGCCTGATCATTGGAGTCTCATCTCTCTTTCAAATAACACTGGAAAGAATGTAGAACTAAAGTTTGTGAATTCACTCAGAAGACAATTTGAATTTAGTGTAGATTCCTTTCAAATTATTTTAGATCCCATGTTAGACTTCTACAGTGACAAAAATGCTAAGCTAACCAAAGAATCCTATCCTGTTGTGGTAGCTGAAAGCATGTATGGAGACTTCCAAGAAGCAATGACACATTTGCAATACAAGCTTATATCTACCAGAAAACCTGAAGAGATAAGAGGTGGTGGTCGCGGGCTTCTGCATTGAACCAGGCATGGGAGTGTTATAGACGTCGGGAGAAAATCACCCTTGGAGACTGACATAGAAAAAAAAGAAAAAGATTTTAATTTCCAGCGGCCAGGCGCACCAGCCAATTCAGA